GAGAACCTCAGGTCACTTGTGCTTCAGAGAAGAAATACAGGCAGGAATGGTTGGGGATCTCTGAGCAGTTAGCCAGAGGCTGAATATTGCATTAAAAAAAAAAAATTATTACTCATTACTCAGATGGTAGTTTAAAACAATTAGTCTAATTATTGTGGAGCATTGTGCTTTAAAAGGTGCAGCTGAAAGTAGAGAACCGCAAGATATTCATTTAAGTGGTAAAAGTTCTTTTAATAACCTGGATGAGCCAGAAGACACTGGTGGTTATGTGTTTTAAGGAGTTTCCTTTCAGTTGAAGCGGATTCCTGTAATCAGATGAGCCCATCTGCCATCTGAGCAACCTGCATTGCAATGTTGAACAGTAACTCTCGGTTGCAGCTTGAAGCGATTCTTATGTACTCTTTGTTGTGTTCTTATGGCCTCAGACTTGATCCTGCTTTTTGTGCACGCAGACTCACCACAAAGCATGCAAGATTAAAAAAATACTTTTATAGGGCATGATCTTGCAGTCCCTAAATCAAACACACAAACCAAAAGCCTCCTTGTGACATCTCTTCCTGAATAATATACTTAAGCTTAAAAAGAGGCAGCTGAGTTTTGAGAAACAAACACCTCCTACATGCCCAGAAAGCCTGTCTGAACAGAGAAGAGGGAATGACTGGGATCCTGGTCTAGCCTTATTTTGAGTGCTTTTGAGTGTCTTCTCAAGACAAGAGGAGGAAGCATCCTGGAGGGGATGCAGTGGCTCACCCTTGCCTCGTGCCTTTGATATAAGTAGTGTGGAGCTGATGGTGGCTTTCTTCCAGAGCAGGGAGACTGAAGGCTGTCCTTGTCTGTGATGCTGGAACTTACTGCTCAGTTCCAACCACAAAACCTAAAATGTTCTAATGAAAAATGCATGGGAAGAGACAGGAGTCCTTGTAAGATTGAAAAACAATTTTTGTTTTTAAGGCTGTAGATGAAAACGTTTTCGGGGATCCAGCCAGCAGAAAAGCCTTCTGGAGGAGAATGGGTGGGAAATTCAGAATGTTTTGTCTAGCAAAAAGCTTGAGAAAGCATAACAACATGGAGGTAGCGCTTGAGGACCAAGACTTGTAAGAATTTGAGGCCTGAGCTGACACCGTAATTGTGCTAGCTTTGGAGTTTACCAGAAGTATATTTTGTAAAAGCTGCAGCTGGCTTGCATGCCTTTTTATGAAATACAGTTGCATTTGTGGAGGATCTAAGCAATAGCACTACATGGGAAAGCAAGTGATCTCAAAGATGTTTACTTCTGCATGGAAACGTTCCCAAAGGAGGAACCAAGCCCTCTCCCTAGAAAGCTTAGGTTCAGTTAATTCCTTCTGTACAATCTCTTTTTATTTTCTTATGTTGACAGTGCTCATACTTGTAACCACTAAACCTCATCATCTCCTATTCTGTATATGTACCGTGTCTCAAGGCAAGTGTCATGCAGAGACAACTTGTATTTAAAGTACTTCCATTTAAATCTCGTGCTAAGATTGGGAGTAAGAATCAGATACTGCAAAGTTCAGAATTTAAAAGCTTTAGCAGCTGTTACTACAAAGACTTAAACATGCTTCCATTTTTTTTTTCACACAGCTATGTCATCAGCTTGGAGGTACTTAAATACCTGCAGGACCCAGGCATAAAGCAGGCATTTTATTTGATATTAATGATTTGACTGGAACATCTAATTACTGGAATGGTTGAGTGCTCCTTGGCATTAGCATAAATAAAAGAGCATGTTCTATTAAGCAGGGGCATAGCTCTTAGAAAAAAATCAACAAGGTTGATAATAAGTTTTCCAAAGCAAACAAGTGTACCTGTGCCTGCCAATTAAATTGTACTGTGGGTGGAATAATTAATTTGGATGCTAGACAAGAAGCACGTTACAGATGTTTTTTTTTGACTTAGGCTGACTGGGGAGTGCCCAATTTAAGACTGCATCCATTTTCCTGTTGTACACCTGTGTGCATGGCATGGATGTAGCTGCTTGCTTCTGCAGATCCTGCCTTAACTGGCAGTCTGTGTTGTGTCTTAGTGGCTTTTCTTTGTGGGGTGCCTTAATGAATAGCAGTTTTCTGCTTCTGTAGGAAAGGGTTTTTTCCCAAAAAATTCTAACACAGAATGTATAAACTTGGGCTTGTCCTCAAGTGATTGCTGACATTCATCATCAGTCAGCAGCACTGAAGTGACACAGATTTCCATATGTTTAAAAGCACTGCTTGGAGTTCTGCTGAGTCACAGCCAAAAGGAGAATAGCACAGTGATTAGTGCAGTTCAGTGCTGATGATGTAAGGAAATGCTGTGTTTGAGATCAAATATATGCATATAAACCTTCTGGTAGGCTTGATATAAGCATACCTTTCAGAAGAAAGGAAAAATCCCAAACAGGGAAGAAAAAAAAAGGCTATAAATCCCCAACTGTAGTCAGCAAACTGCTTTCAGGTGGTACTCAAAGACGAGTCCTGACCCCCTGTGTGGAAGATGGGGACAGATGATGGGCACAGGTTCCTGCACACGGGTAATTCCTGCTGGGGGCAGCAGGAGGGACAGGGATGAGAAGCGGGATCCCATGTTGCACGAGGAGGGGAAGGCAGAGGTCCTAAGGCTCAAGTGAGAGACACCCTCACATGCCAAAAAAGCTTCAGGAGGGGGGAGCAGAGGCTTGCATCTTGCCTGTGCAAGAGGGTAACTGGGCAAACTGGTCAGGAGCCCCTTCAGCTGACACTGCAGTCCCTTACATGTGCCACCTGTATCCAGTTACAGGGGAAATACCTGGGCAAAAGGTTCACCTGCCTGCAGCTTCTTTGTTACTCCTGTGCAGGCTATCTGGGCCTTTTCACAGTAGTCACCCGGAGTGCCTTCAGAGATAAGGGTTCTCACAGCCTGTCCGTCTGCGTAACTCCTCCAAAAAGGAGTGGTTCTCCCAATGCAGCGGTTTGTATGACAGCGCTGTAAAGCCTGACCTTCAAACCTCCATCATTCTTTCTGCAACAATGATCATTTTCTGTCCGCCCATCAACATAAAACTGGAGGTATTCGGCCCATCCGCGGGAGCACTATTTTTAGCACGAGCCAGCAGAAACCAGACTGGCTCATGGTCAGTCCTTTGGGGAGAGGGAGGTAAAAGGATGGGGAAAGAGGAAGAGGCTTCTCTACTTGAAGATTTTTCCTGTTAGTCACAGCGCTGAGAGAAAACAAACTCCATATGGAACAGATCATGTCAGGCCTTTAAAACATATTTGCAGAGGCTGTGCAGTTTCTTAAAGGGACTCGGAATACCACGTGGTTTGGGGGTTTTGTTCTTGCATTTACTGTTTGGGGATGTGCGTGCATTTTCATTCATTTTAATTTGGCCCAAGTGAAGTGCATTAACCAGTAGTTTGCTTTATTATCACCTTTAAGAGATCTGTTCATAAAGGAAAAACACTCCCTGACTCTCCCACTGGGGAAGACTTCCAAATATTTATCTCCTAGTTATTTCATGAGTGTTTTTATTAATTTATTTATTTTTATTTTTCTTTGGTGTGCAAATGAAGGCCAAATCCCCAGCACAAGGGCAGAGTGCCGTGAGCCCAGGACATCTCAGTGGGATGCTGGATTCAGACGCGGAGCAGCAATGTGTTGCAGGAGGTCACAACCCCTGGGCTGGGGTGAGTGGAGGCACCCCTCACACCCAGGCTGTCTCACCCTTTCCATGCTTGCCCTCTGTAGCCATTTTGTGGAGCACTGTTCTAGAACATTCACTGTGGAGCCCGGGGTTCCCATGGTCTGCCTTTCCTGTCCGATAGGACAGGGACAGTTCACAAGGAAGCAGAGGTGGGTCAGGACTTACCCCTCAGTAATAACTGTGCTCTAATTCTGCAACGTGAATAAATATTATTTCTAAGAACAGCTGCCGTTAAGGCTGCTGAGGGTTTTTGTTTTTATTCTTTGGTTGATAAGCTGATTTATTCCCGCTTCTTTTAATGCAAACCTTTGGTTTGAAATGCGGCCAGAATGAATTTGTAAATGTGTTGAGCTTTTAAAATTCAGCACTGGTCTGAAACATACGCTGCGTGGATGTTGGGAAGGAGCTCTGAGCTTTTAAATTAATGGTACAGGCCTTGCCAGAGCAGATTTTTTGTAGGAATCTGATGGGAACAGGTAAGATGAGGGCAAACGCCAAAACTTCCTGTTTTACTGAGTTACTGCAGTAATTACTTGTTTTGACATCTTAAAACTTTGAGCTATTCTGACCTCCCAAACTGCCTCACACCCCATGTGCTCTGTATTATCACGAGTAGAGGGAGAGACTGTGCTAGAGAACAAAAGCAGCAGGGCTTTACCGAACGCAAAGCCCAGAGCAGGCTTTTTACAAGAAAACGTGTATTTTGTTAGGGGCCAGAAGGATGGGGACAGCTGAGTGTGTGAAGAATTCAGGATTTATTTAAGCAGCTTCTTTATTAGTTCGTGTCTTGTACAACCTTCCCAAGCTGTAATTTAAAGGTAGCTCGGGCTCACCTTCTCACAGAAGGTGGCCGCGCAGACTGCCGGAGGGCAGATGTAATCTCCAAAACCTCTCTGAATTTGCTTTTTTTACGGGCCGTATTTCGGCGCTGACCTGCCCCTTGCACTTTTGGGACGTTTTAACTCATTTACGGGAGCTCCAAGCCTCTGGTAAGGACACGGGGCGTTGGAGCAGCGGACAGCAAACCTGCGGTGCCGGAGAGGAGCCGGCGGCGAGGCTGAACGGGGAGCGCTTGCTCCGTGCGTGAAAACGGTAGCCGAGTTTTTTACTATTATTATTTATTTTTTTTTCCTCTCTTCCTCTCCTTTTTTCCTCCCTTCTTCTTCCCGGGGCTGTAATTTGACTGCTCGCCTTGGCCGGGCTCCAGGAATAAGTCCAGGCGGTTAATCTTTCTTCTCTCCCCCAGCCTCCGGGGGGGTGGAGGAGAGGAAAAGGGGAGCGGAGTCAGCTGCGGCCCGGGGCCGGGCCGGGCCTCCCCGGGGAGGGGCCGAGGCAGCGGCTGGGCTGCGGGAGCTGCATGGAGGAGGGGAGCTCCGCCGAGTCCCCTGCCCGCACGGGAGGAGGAGGAGGAGGAGGAGGAGGAAGTTTGGGGATTAAGCCGCTGCCCGGAGCCGGAGCGCACGGAGGGAGCCGAGGCACGGCCGCGGAGCGCTGCGAGGGGGAGGCACCGACGGGGAGACCCCCGTCCGAAGCCCCTGCGCCCCGAGCGTGAACGGGAGGGGGGCACCGGAGGGCGAGAGGCTGCCGGTAAGCACTGAGGGGGGGGGGAAGGAGGAGGGAGAGGGGGCGACTCCCGGGTTGTGGGGGGGGTCCTGGTGGTCGTTGAGGAGCCCGCAGCCCCCCTAGGGCCGGCCCCATCCCCTTCCCCCGGCCCCGCCGCCTGCCCCCATTGTGTCCGCAGCCTTTGTGCGAGCCGCCCCCCCGCCCCTCTCCCTGCCTCTGCTCCGTGCGCTGCTCTCGGCGGGGCTCCGGCCGGCTGCTGGTCGCTGGGGGACACCCAGAAGTTTTTTTTGGGGGGGGGTACCCCCATCCCCCGGGCAGCCTCCGGGCAGCCCCCGGTGGGGAGAAGGGGGGGCGTCGGGCGCACGCCTGCGCTCTGCTTACGGGGCTCCGGGCTTAGGCGAGGTCGTAAGGCTTTGTCGGGTCCTTTTTTGGGGTTCGGGGGAAACGAGGTGCTCCCCTTAATGCATGCTAAAACTGCTTGGCGTTTCTGGTTTTACACAGGTGTTTTGCTAAACCGGTGTCTTTTGGGCAACCATCTCTAAGAACTTTGATGCTTTTAAGTAATGTTCATCGGGATGTGATGACTGTGGCCCAGAGGGGGTTAAAAGCATGATTGGTCTTATCATTAAGTATCAAGGATGTTTATCCTGGGGTGGGAAGAGGAGAGCGAGGCGGCAGAGCAGTGTTCCAGTGTCCAGCGGAACCACGGATGTGTTTCCCCCTCTCCCATCCCCGTCCTTCCCCTGCTTTGTGGGCTGTGTGTCACAGCCCTTGTCCTCCTTGCTGAATGGGAAGCCCTTCGGACCTCATCCCTCAGCCGGTGTTGACAACCCCGAGGCTCTCATTTCCTTCCTTCACAAGTAACAGTGCTCTGGGTGTGAGGGAAGAGGACCTGGAACAAACTTCGATGCCAGCTGAACGTACAACTAACATGCTCCTCTTTGCTTGGCTTTCCCCCTCCCTCTGATTATTAATTGAGACACAGAAACAGCTGTGGCCTTGCTTTTTTTCTTTTCATGTTGCTTGCTGATAATTACGGTATTTATGATGCTGCCTAGAGAACCTGATGGCTTATAGGTGTTTTGAAAGCTGTGTAATGGGATCCTTCTAATAGTCTTCCTTTGCTACCGTTTCATTCTTGGAGGGAACAATCTTTGCAGCTTGAGAGCTGCAGTTCAAATTTCCACAAGCGTTTGTTGCCTGTGCCTCTAGCTAAATTTATAAAGGAATCCTGTTAGCTCGTACAAAGCTAAATCTGGCAGTAGCAACTCCTGGCTATGTAATTCACTGTGGTTGGCAAGGCACAATATATAACTTCTTTGAGTTTTATTTAAAACTCTTTCTGGTGCCTGTGATGTGCAGTTGTCTTGATTTTGAGAGCTCTTCACCAATAGATGTGGGGGTGCTTTGAGAGGAAAACATAAGAGTTATGCTAAGGTTAGAAAATTTATTAATAGGGTGCTTGTCTTGAAAATATGAGAGGGCAGTCTGAGATCAGCCTCTTAGTGAATATTGGTATTGTTCTCTGGTTCGTCCCAAAGCTTTGCTGTTCAGCTTTGACTCTCTACTTCTCTATGTTCTAAAGTTGACAAATGGGAACGATGCAAGATGCTCTGATAAAATGGTTCAGTTCTGAATGTGTTCATTTACTGAAATGTTGTCGTTTTCCCACAAGTCTGTGGAGCCCTAGGTAAACAATATTGACCTGTGGCTGTATGACTGAGTGTATCCCTGCAAAGGCAGGTTATGATTGCCACAGGAGGTGTTAAAGTGTCATTTTTCTTGTTGTTTTACTTCATGGTTTTCAGAAATAGAAAATATGGGTGCATAATCAAATTGATTTGTAAGCTGTAGTCTTACTTGAAAACATCTTGTGAAGACAGTTTTGATTTTTTTAGTGAAGGGTGGAAGTTAACGATGTGTGGCTTTGGAAATCTTCAAATAGTGAACTTCATTTTTTGGAAGCTCTCATGGTTTCAGAACGTCTGCTAATGTGTTTTCCCTCTTTCTTGGGCAGGATGTGAGAATACAAGCTAACTGTCCAGTGGTGTACTTTGGGTCTGAAGTTGTTGAATTTGAGGTCTTGGTATGAACTGTGCTTAGCAAAAAACCTGTGGAACTGTCAGACTTGAGTTCTTAGTACCCTTCTTGTGTGTCCTTATTATTATTTATATTTATTATTATCTAAAAGGTTAAAGCTAGACTTATCAAAGTATGTCAAAGACTCCTCGAAGAGGTGATTTGCATTTATGTGTTTATTACCCTCATACTTGTCACACCTCAGCATTTGCTTGACTGGGCCAAATCTCTCCCCTCCCAAGCCAGAGCTGCAATTCTTGGCCATCTTCATGGCCACGAAGTGGAGAGAGGCCACACTGCTGGGTGGCAAATGGAGATGCTCAGCATCACTCTTTCATGCACCCCATGGTCATAGGGTGGACATACACTTGGTCAGGAAATAATCAAAATATCCGATATGGTGATGAACCCATTTAAAGGACTCTGGGAAGCATTTCTTGGATTTGACCTCTGGAAAGCCATGGCAGTTCTAAGTTACTACAAAGGAATTTTTCTGATGTCCATTCTCTTTTGTATTCACTCATGTGTTGAAAAGGGTGATTGTTCTGGTAAAAACAACAAATAGACACATTAAAGTAGTTATGGCTTTAAGTTACATTAACTTAAATTCCTTAGAGGGCCAAATACAGCACAAAGGTATCTTGACTAGAAAAGATGCAGTAAAATTGTGTTTAAAAAAAAATAAAATCATGTCTACTGAAGACATATGGATTGGTTGTGATTATGTGTGGCAGTCCTTTCAGAATGATCTGTAACTTTTGCTCATGGGGATGACGAAGATGTCTTACTACTACTTATTCTAAACAGCATTTCTATTTTACAGTGTTGAGAGAGGGGAAAAAAACACCAAACCAACCAACAGAGAATTATTGCAGCCCTCAGCACAGTCTGGAGTAGCAAAAGGACTTGCAGAGGTGTTGCTGAATGCTTAGCTTTGAGAACCTGCATTGCTGTGGTTACATAGAGAGCTTTAGTTTGTGGAACTGGCAATGAGGAAAAAAGTGGAAAAAAAGCGTTATTCTTGTAAACTGAGAATACAGAGGATGGGATGACATGGAATTCATAGTTGTTTTTTTTTTTTTTTTTTTTTCCTCACCTCTTTATAAAACATGCTTTTCAAAGCACTTCTAATAGATGCTCATTTACTTGTTAATTAATCTGCTCGTGTTTGGAAACAAACCAAAACCATTGGAAGAGCTGTGTAGCATCACCAATCCCAAATACTTTTCTTCCCTCCCCCAACCCCTGTTATGGCTCAGACTTCCCAGACTTGTGCATTGGGTTTACTAGCTGTTAATCTTGTAGTATTTTTCAGTTATTTTAGTGTTTTAAGACTAATAAAGTTATACCTTCCAGTTCTTTTATTTTAACTGTTATGTGCAGGAACTTCACTTTGAAAGAAGAAGTGAAATTCCCTGATGAAAACATCACAGATAAGGATGAATGGGGGGAATGGGAACAGAGCGAGTAAAGAAGTAAAGTCAGTCTTGGTCATAGCAGCAGCACAGTGGCAACAGTTACGATTGGAAGTGCTGGGTACACTTCTTGTGTGTGTGGTTATGAATACAAGAGATGAATGTGAACAGATTAAATACTAACTTGAAAAGGCTATTTGTGTTAATTCCATTTCCAAAAGAGTCTGTGTAACAAAGTAGCTGATAGCGTTAACAGTTTCTCAAGACTCTTTAAGGATATAAAACATTTGTCTATATATGGCTGTTGTATCAAATAGGTCTGCCTTATCTGATTCACCAAGTTGAGCTTTTATGAACTTACTTGGCCTAAAATAGATTCAACTGCAAACACGATTGCAGGTGCAGGAAAAGAGGGGCCTAGTCAGGGTGTACTGGGGAAGGAAATTGAGGGAAGAGCTGCTGATAGTTGCTGAGGAGGCCTAAAAGAAGCAGCTGTCCAAGCACTTAAAGGCTGCTTCAGACCACTGTCAGGTGTTGACTGGAGTGCCTTATGTGAGACCGGAGTTTGGGGTGGTCACTGACCATGTTCTCAGTGATCCTGATGCAGAGCCCTGCTGTGAAAATACAGAGCAAGGTTCAAAATCTTATCTAGGACAGAAACTTGATGCTCATGACTTGGTTTCTTTCTTCCTTCCATGGTATGAGTTCCAGTAGTCCTGCTTTCTAGTCCTCCACAGGACCGTGGGTGGTTATGCCAGTGGAAGTTACACGTATGGTTTATAGGTGTAATCAACAGGTATATCTTGGGCTGGCAGCTGTTTCCCTTGCAAAGTTGACTCCTAAACAGTACTAATTATCTTTGAATCCTATAAGTCTTGCTTGGCTGCTCTGTCATTGAATTTCAGACTACAAGTGGTGCCAAGCCTCTTCCTGTAAGCATGCGTTCTGTAGAAACTTGCATGTGAGCCCTGCCCAGATGTTTTAAAATCTGACTTAATGAATGTTAACGTTGAAGTATTTGAGCATTCTTATCCGTTCAGACATTTCAGGATCATGCCCCAGGCGCTTATATCATACGGATAATGTTTTCTGCTGATGGGATCCATGCATCCTCTCACTGGAAGCACTGAGCAGGGGTAAAAGGGTTTTGTGGGACCGCTTATTGTTGAATCACCTGCCCAGTGGCTTACTCAGAGCTGTTGTAGATAAAACCTTGATGTCCAGATTAGGAAGGGAAGGTTGTTTATATTGCCCTAAGGAATGCTGGGGACAGTGTAACAGCCAGCTTCCTTTCATGGTCATGGCTGACAACTTTTCAGCGTTGTCATCTGGGTGTGCGTTTCAAGGTTAAAGGCTCTGCCTTCAATCAGTCCACATTAATAGTCCCTATCTCTTAGATTTTGTACGTAGTCTGTATCGTTTGTACTTTCTCCCATGCTTCCACTCGTGTTAGGTGGAGTTATCTGTAAACACAGGGAGGTTTGTCTTTGCTAACTGGCTATAAAATAACTTTTCTTAAAGTATTTACCA